AGGCCCTGTTTACAAGCAGGTAGGGTAACCCTAGTGCTAGGGTTACCCTGGCAGGAGGGTTACCCTAACGCTCCCACATTTCTTCTTTTTTTCATCGACGTGTTTACAAGGCAGCTAGGGTTACCCCAGCACTAGGGTAACCCTACCTGAGCGCTAGGGTTACCCTAGCGTTAGGGTAACCCTAGCTGCCTTGTAAACGCTCTGGTGGGGATAACTCGCCTACCCGGGACAACTTTTTACTTGTTTCCAGACCCTTTGAACATTGATAACAATGCGTGCGGTTACCAAGCATAGGTAAGTTGTCCCGGGTGGTAGGGTAACCCTACCTGTGAAATTTTGCTTGTAAACCCGGGCTATCTTTGACCCACCTGCTAGGGTAACCCTATCACAAGGGTTACCCTCCTTGCTTGTAAACAGGGCCTAACTTTCAGGGTTTGTAGCGTCTGCCTTGACGCTTTTTTCCCGAGAGCCTTTCTCGAAACAGCTGTACACACACAGCGATAGCTTGAGCGAGTTTGAAATTTGCGTCAAGAAATGGTTGAGTTCAAACCGAACATGAAAATATTGACATTTCAGGTTCTGGATTTGGACTTTTTGGTTAAGAAATTACACTTTTGTTCTGATTTTTTGGGCCGAGTACTGATTTCAGAAATCCACATCCAAACGGATCTCATGCAAATATCTTTTCTTTCTACTTCAGATTGGCGGTTGGATAACCTTGGGCATTGTATCCACTACCCTTGTCTTTCTCACAGTCACTCATTTTAGCTCCATATACCACGTCAATCAGAGAGGACGGATAACGGAGCCTTACTGTTCCATATCTCAAAAATTGCAGGTCATTTGAATGGTTTGGCACATCGTTAAGTATATGAGGCTGGTGCCAATAAAATCTCACAAACACAGGCCATTAAAAGTAGCCAGTACGTGGAAACAGATCTCGGTGTAGCGGACATGTCCATTTATTCTCTAGGATGTGGAATGATCACCCTAGAAGAAGAGTTGAGTCTGAGAAGTCAAATAAAATGACTTTTCCTTATGGACACTATATTACTTAAGACCGAGAAGTATCGCTTTTATAACCGTAACGGTGGCCAATTTACCATTTCAACTTTGTTGATATATTCAAATTATTTTGAAAATAGAAAGACAGGTTTTTATTTTATTTTATTTTATTTTATTTCTATTTATTTGCGATGTTTAAACGGACTGGCTCAATTCAGCTTTAGAGTTAGTTTCAACGAGGGCCTGTTTTGTTTTGTTTTTATAGATTTGTACAGTGTACAGGCGAGAGAACACTATATCACGTAGTCCCCTCCTTGGTTCACCCACCTAAACCAACCCCAACCCACCCATCCCACCCAGGGGAGGACATCCATCACACAGTAATCTCGTGCGTGGGAAATTAACGTCTCCTACCCCTAACCCTGCAGGAGACGGGACCTCCATTTATTCGTCCTATCCGATAAGACTAGAATAATATCTAACCATTTCTTGATGTTATAGAAAGGTAGCATATTCTTCTCAATTATTTTAAGACCTTGAGTGTTGGTCCGGCCGGGGCTCGACCCTCGACCTCCCGCACAACAGTCCAGCGTTCTATCCATTGAGCTAACCAGGAGGCTGTATAAACAATAACAAGGCCAGCCCACGACGCCAGGAGCTATGGTTCTTTATTCTATGCGAGAAGGACCTTGGTTCTTAAATGTCCCCTCTAACCAGTACAGAGAAGATGCGAGAGTCGACGCCTATGATTTATTCCGCTTTTCCGAGAAAAGCGAGATAAAGGTGGTGAAATTTAATTGAAGGTATAATTATGTATTAAGAGATCAGCGGAATAGAAGCATGCTGAGCATGGCGCAAACTAACTTAATTTTTGTTTCATTTTTTTTTTACTGATCCATTTGCTTTATTTTTCTGGTGATTTTTTTTGCATGATTCGAGGAATGTGCGAAGTTGAAGTTCGTTAAGAGAGTTGCTAGATGCCCACTTTCTTTTTGTTCCTTAAAAGTAGCACTCTTGATCGAGTTACTGCTCCAAACCAACGAAAGAGGAGGATTTGGGGTCTTCAACATTTTAGTACAAATTAAAACAACTTGTTATGTTTAATGCAAATGCATAAATGAGTTTTTTGTAAACTGCAATTGCACGCCTTGTTTCCAAAATGAGCTGCTTGCACGAACCCAACGTCATACATCATCAGAATATAGTCGCCTTCGTCAGTAACTCTGCTCTAAGTGGTCATTTGCATTGTTTTACCTCTTTGTTGTTTTTTTTTTAATTTACCAAGAGCAACCCATTGTGTCAATGGAAGTAATCGCCTCTCGTATTTATACAATGTTCTGACCTTTAATAACTTTGTTATGTAAAACTCTAAGACGTATACGAAGAAATCACCGGTTTCCTCGCTGGGTAAGCCCAAATTTAGAGGAACAGTCGCTCTGATAGCAATTGTAAATATTGCCCGTTATCACGGACACCTATTTAATTAGATGAATACAGTCTGAGAACGATCCCACACATGGCACAACTGTTCTGTGATAAAAATAGCCAAAGAAGAATTCATTATGTGTTGATAAGTGAAGCTTAAGGCGTCTTACACAAATAACGGTTTGAAAATTTTCGATATATAAAATTCCAGCTAATAACAACTTTATGATGAGAAAGAAAATTGTTTGGATACATCTGTATTTTTTGATCAATATAAAGTTGTTGATATTGTCAAGTTAACGGCCTTCTTTATCATCTTTGCTCCAGTTGTAAATATAACTTTGTGATTCAAGTTTGGGTTCTCGTTTCATTGAGAAATCTTTTCGTGCATGAAGATTTCGTTCGTTTTCCCACATATCAAGCATCAGTGAGTTAAATATGCGAGACGACATTTCATGTTATGAACATAGCAAACTGACAGACATGAATTATGTACTTTGATATATTCGTGATATTTCTTTGCTGAGTATCATTATCACCACAGTTTCTGGTCAGTTATCCGTAATCCATACGAAGTAAAGCTTTCAGCATCACTCCATCATCTTTTCTTCCCGTATTTGGCCTCCCTATAAGTTCGCCGCCAAAAGTAATAATCAGATGGCCACCTTTGTGTAACATTTACAATGGGGTTGTTGTTTCAGCTACGCAAACAAAACCGATTTAATAATAATTGCAACGAAGACAAGAATCAAGGTCATGTACGCCGCAAATAGTTCCAAATCGAATGCGTCTTCTTCAAGGCTTGTATCCGTAAGGTTCATGGCATATCAGCATCTCAAATCTTGCATACTTGAAGTAGAACTCCAGTCTTTACGGTTACAAGATCACGGCGAAGAGATAGATGTCGTAGGATATCAAATCCATGAGCTATATCCAATACAATTTAGTTGATGTGGACATCAAACAAACTGACAAACGTTACCTTTAACTTCAGCGAGTCCGGGCAAAGACTTTTCCTAGTCACGTAATGCTTTTTAATGTTTGGCTCTGGGCTTCCTTGACTTATTTCAAGTTCTTATATGTTTGTAATTGCATAAATGACTTGTAAATCAGAAAGGGCGAAATGATTTATGAAATTTTTGTTCTGGTTCGCTGGAGCCCAAGGAGAGTGACGTCAGCAACGCCTAAGTTGTTCCAAAGTTTGTTTAGCTAATCATAATTAATTGCTATTCATGTATGGCAATCAATTTGAACTCTGTTAGCGTGTTTTCATCCCATAAAGTCTTGAGTGAATGCCCCAGTAAATATATTTCTTCCTCTCTTGACACTTAGTTTGTGCTCGCATTTTCCTCACGTCGTTTGTTGACTGACAAGAGCTTTGCCAAAAGAGTCTTAGAGAAAATAAAAGCTATTTTCCAAAATCTTATTTGAAAAACCTTGACTGAAAAATTACACGGACGCCTGCTATTTCAGACATAAAATGTCTTATGTTCCCAGCTCCAGTACTTCATTGCTTTCAGAAAAAATACGTTATTGTAATGTTTGTGTCGATTTCAGCACTTGCTCAGTTCGCGTCTGAATGAGAGCTAGTTTGCTCTGCAGCATTTTCCTTCCCTTTTGATCTGAACGAGAGAAGCATGAGCAGAGTGGCAGACATGAGAAAGTATCTGGCGAAAGGGAAAAAAGAGAGAGAGAGTGCCCTAAACTTTTCTTGCTCTCTTTCACCCCCTAGCCTCGCGTGACAAGGAATAAGAATAAATTACTGTGACGCAGTCTAAGTCAAAGCCCGTACAAAGCCTGTCCAAAGTCAGATTGCTAAGCCTTTCAGAGTGATTCTTCACTAAATGTCTCTTATTTTCCCAAACAAAGATCTATTTTGGGAGATGGTCGGCAAAATTTTAATTAGAGAGAGAAAATTGACAAACAGTTAATTTTTTTACTGTTTGATTTTCGAAAAAATATGAACAAGCTGAAAACTCATTTAGTTGTGCATTAGAGGCCCGCCTTCTTGGGTATACGTTTTCGTCAAACTCTTACCTTAAAACTTTTTCAGAAGAGAGCTTTTGGACAGTGACACTCTGAGAGAATTGATTATGTTCAATTCTAATATTTTGTTCTTGTGGTTGCTGACTGCTACTTCCTTTGATCGAATCGAGGGAAATACCACAGTTTCTACGGTAAGCATTACGGATGCTCAGCTGCCAACAGTATTCTTATTCCAAGCATGGTTTCAGCTCAAACAGTCTTTTCAGAATTTTCTCTTCCCTTAATGCAAGGTTCAGTTTTTAACTTAAAGGTAAATACAGTGGCTGATTTACAAACGCCCCAATTTTCCCCCAGTCAACTGTTGGCTTTTTACTCCAAAAGAATCGAAGTGAAAAATGCATAAACTTTCTGTACTGATGTTTCGTTTGAAAATCACAGCTTTAGAATACGCTGCGTGGAAGTAGTCTTGTTAATAGCGCCTATTCAGTTCTTGGGAGATCGAAGGCGATTATACGCGCTTGGCAAGGCTAGATTGGCAAAAAATCCGAATCTTCTAAATCTGCTGTTACGTACCATGCTTTATACATGTTGTATTTGGAAATAAAAACGTGCAAACCAAATCCGCTGAAGGATTTGAATTACAATTATAGACGTTTCCGAGTCCGGAAGACATCATACAGTCAACTCTCGTATTTCTTTAATCTTAGCATTTTTTAGCTTAATTAGGTGGCTACATAGAGTTTGAGTCTGATAATGACGCGCGCGCTTGCGTTATGTTTTTATGGAGACTTTTTCATGTTTCCTGTCTTCAAACTAACAAAGAGTTACTAAAACGTAATAGACAAGAGTCGGACTGTTGTTGCATGTAGTTAATATTAGCATAAACGTTTTCGTTCTTGAAGTGGAGAGCTACGAAGGGAGGTAATTTGGCTCTGATTTTTATTTTCTCGGATTTACTTTGGTGAAATCAGCATGTGAAATTCCTCCTGCTCGTTCTAAAAAAATAGGAGTTGCAAAGACAGTTTCTTTGCTTTTTGGAATGTTTTGTTTGGTGCCTCTAACTTAGGTAATAGGAAGGGCACAAAATCATGTTCAACGCTCCACCAAATCTTAGACAATTATACTCACGGGAACTTGATAAATCTCGCTCGAAAGATCTATTTTTTTACTCACAAAACATAACGTCATAGAATAGAACTTCGCCAAGATCGATATATGAGCAAGCGTTCACTTTCGAATCTCTCAAACACTAGAGCACGAGTTCAAGCAAGCAATGTTTACTTCGGACCGGCGAAGTTATTGATTTCATATTTTCTCCCTTCTTAGAAAAAAAAAAGCATACAAGGTTAGCAAATTTTTTTCTTGACAGATAATTTCAGCTTTAAAAAAAGTTAAATTGCACACTATGAATACTGAATGGCTAAATCGCAGTTCATATTTTCAGGGTAAACCTATTGACCTGATCTTGTCTTCTTTAACCACACAGAATCCCATTACGTGCCTTCAAGGAGCACCTGGTTTCCCTGGTCACAATGGATATAACGGGTTGCCAGGCCGTGATGGTCGAGATGGCGCCAAGGGAGAGAAGGGCGTGGCAGGTAATCCAGGACCACGTGGGGTTAAAGGAGATGTTGGATCAAGAGGGTCTGAAACCGACCCCAGAAATTGGAAACAGTGTGCATGGAGGGCTCGGGACGATCGGAACGTTGGTCTCATAAAAGTACGAGATAATAATAACTTTATTTATCCTGGTAAGAAACCGGTCAGTCGATCAAGATATAGATCGACTGGTATTAATCGGTGACCCGTTAAAAAGAATTAAAACTGAATAAGAATTACAATTACAAATCTAAAATTTATAAATTATGTATAAAAATTACATTTAACTTGTACAAATATGATTTACGCTGTCCGTGTTTACGAGGTAAGTGAAAGTTCTGCCTTTAAATTGTGCGAGTGTTGTGAGCTCGCGAATCTCTCTTGGCAGTTTGTTCCAGGCACTCGCAGCCGAAAACTTAAACGAGGTCTGTCCACATTTGGTCTTAACTTGTGGTAGATCTAATAATGTTGGATCTCTAAAGGCTCGACAGTGTCTCTGTGATCGTTTCACTAAGTACCCTGTCAACTGCTTAGGGCAGTTGATGTTGTTAATTATCTTGTAAACATACTGTAGCTTGATGAAAAGGCGTCTACTGTGAAGTGATAATAGTTGTAATTTGGCGCGCATCTCCTGAGTACATGTCTTACGGTCAGCATGCAATATTATTCGCATTGCTTGGTTTTGCAGGCGCTCTAAACGTTGGGCATTCTCTTTGCTACATTCGCCCCATACAACACAACCATAGTCTAACAAAGGTAATACAGTCTGCTTGTAGATTCTGAGCAAAATATCGCGACTAAGAAAGGATGAAATTCTGTTAAGCAGTTTTAGTTTAGGGTAAACCCTAGATTGTATATAGGCTACATGTTTGCTCCATGTCAGACAATGATCGAGGTAAATTCCTAAGTACTTAAAGTAATCTGACTGTTTCATTGGTTTTCCATCGAGGATAATCTGTAACGCTCGGGTGTTTTTAACAGCGTGCTTTGATCNAAGATCAGTGTTGGCAAACGATTCAAGCACTTTTGAGATACAGGGAAGAATGGAAATTGGTCTGTAATTATCACGTTCGGTCTGGAGCCCCCCTTTAAACAAGGGAGTTACTCTTGCCGTTTTCCAAATGGACGGAAAGCGGCCGCTTCTGAAAGATGTGTTGAATAACTTAGCTACAACATTGCTGATGTATGGTGCAGCAGTCCTGATGACTTTAGCTGGAATGGTGTCTGCACCTGTGGCCTTTGATATGTCCATGGTTCGTAGAACCTTAAAAACGTCGTTTTCACTCACGGTGCGAAAATTGAAGCTGTGACTGGGAAACGCTAAAGGGCCCGTCTGTTGTAGCTCGGCAGGGTGGCCGAGGGATTTCTGACTGGCTAACAGTGAGGAAGCAATTGTTGTAAAATACTCGTTTAGTGAATTAGCGATGTCATGTTTGTCGATTAGCTCTTTACAATCGACTACTAACTTGTCGATCTCAGTGCGGTTTTTCCTGGAGGGCAAAACTTGACGTACTGTGTCCCAAAAGGCCTTGGGCTTGCTGCGGTTTTCCTCGAGCTTGTTTTTGAAATATATCTTTCGGGCTTTTCTGTTTATAGCGGTGACTCTGTTTCGAAGGGATTTATACTCATTCCAATCCGAAGACAGTCGTGACTTTCTTGCCCTCTTGTGTACTTGATCGCGCGTTCTCATGAGTTTAAGAACACTACTGTCAAGCCACGGGTGCGTCTGTCTACGAATACGCTTCTTCTTTAGCGGAAAATGTTGGTCAATCAAAGATTTCATCAGCGATTCCCAGGCTGAACACATGTCGTCAACGTCGTTGAAAGAGTCAATCAGGCACCATGGAGCTTGCTTCAGGTTAGCTATAAAATCATTTACATTTTTGTCTTTCCAGGAGCGCTTTGTTATGATCCGATGTTTGTCCGGGCGAGTCGCTGAGCCATGCATGACACCGTCGATGGGATAATGGTCGCTGAAAGCAATATTGATTGCACCTGCTTTTTTAAACAATCTAGGTGTTGAGGTGATTAACACATCAATGAGGGTGCTTGTTGTCGAAGTCACACGCGTTGGTTCTTTTATCAGTTGTTCAAGCTGACTGACCATGGTGAATTCCAGCAGTCTCTCCGTCTGCCTTGAGGTATTAAAAATGTCACAGTTGAAAATCACCGATGACAATGACTTCCAAATTGTTTTTAGTCGCATCCCTCATAACATCATCTAAATAGTTAAAAACCTTGAGGGATTCGTCTGGAGCCCTGTAAACGCATCCAATTAAATATTTCACTTTATTCAGTTGCATTTCTATCCAAATGGCTTCAAAAGCATCCTCTAAATCCCTTCTTACAGTGTGTTTCACATTTTCCAGTACATAAATTGCCACTCCACCTCCCCTACGATTTTTCCGGTCATGGCGGTGTACAGAATAGTCCGATAATTCAATTTCTGAGTCCGAGATGGAGTCGTCTAACCATGTCTCTGAAATTCCGATAAATAGAGAGCAAATGTCTTGAAAAGTTAGCCTCAGTTCGTCGATGTGAGCCATAATACTTCTGCAATTGAAGTGGGCCAGCCATGGTTTGCGTTTTGTAGGTAAGCGGCAGGTGTTATCCGAAGTCCTAGCGTTTGAACTCATGACAGTCGTTTGACAAGAGCTTGTGTTTAGTTTGTTAGGTGCATCGTTTCGTGGTCCGTGATGAGGATGGACGTCTCCATGTGCGACGAGTAGCGATATATTAAACTGAGCTATGAGGAAGGCGCAATACGGTACTCTCTTTCCGATGAACTTGCGCTGAAAGAAGAAACCAAGATGGCCGCTGTCGGAAACGTGCCACGTGCATGGATTTAATAATCTTCGATGCTGATAATACTCGATGGCAAATTCGTCTTCATCATCTCGGATGGCTGGATAATGACCTACGCTTTCGTAATTGTTTGTTGCATCCAAAGTTAAGATGCAAATTAAATAGAATAGCACAGATGCCCTGCAGTTAAGTGGTGACCGTCCGCCGGGCGCCATGCTCTCCAATAGATAGTGACAGAAGGAAGAAAAAATTTTTCAGATTTACAGTGTTGAAACATACTGTTTTCGTTTTTGTAGGACTGCGTATTTGACAAGGCTAGAAATGACACAGCCTTACGAATTGTTTACCAAGGTAATATTGGTGTATATTGTGACGGCTGCTGTAAACGCTGGTTCATAACCTTTGATGGTACAGAATGCAGTGGCCCGATGCCAATTGACGCGGCGCTGTGGATCAGAAAGAAGGAGCAAGATAACCTCCGACCCGCAACAATAGAAGGCTACTGCGAAAACATACACAAGGGGAGAATCCGTGTTGGTATCAACATTGGAAACTGTTCTGGTGGAAACACGAACGGAATCACAGGTTATCAGTCAGTGTCACGCTTGATTATCGAAGAAGTGCCGCGTTCGCAATGATGACTTTTTATGCTAACTTCTTCCGATTTGCTTTAAACAATGATCATAGCTAAATAAAGCACGTGGGTAGAAAGTAGTAACATGTGAGGGATGTTAATCCATGTTCACGAAGTTTTTGTAGCTTGTAAATTAAAAAGCTAAGACATGTACGGAGAGGCTTTCAAAAATATGTTAACGTTTATTAGTAAGGGTTTTTTTTATCTTGTAATCAGGAACCTTATATGAAATAAACTTCATACCTTGAAAATGCTGACAAGCATCGTAATCGTAATGCATTTCATTGGCTACTATAAAATGTTCTTTTTATCTTAAAAGAGGCTAGAGTCTGTAATAAAAATAAAATATACTAAATGGTTAGTTACAAAATTTGTCCTTAAATGAAAACTTCAAAACTTCTTTCAAATATTCCAAAACAAACAACCAAAAAATCTGCGATAAAGAAAGCAAAACTAACTTTATACTAATTTATGACAATAACAAACGAAGGCAAGAATCAAAGTCATATAAATCGCAACAGGCTCCAAATCGAAAGTGTCCTCTTCAAGGCTTGTATCTGTAAGGTTCATGGCATATCAGCAGAACAAACAGCTTCAGACACAGACCGTAAAAACACTTTAAAACGTAGACTTGCAGCCAAAAAACCGAGAAAATGGAAATTTCTTTAAAAACCTGTCAAACTATCAACCATCTGACAGCCAAGTCAGCGTGCTATCAAAGGGTCTCAAATTCATCCCAACGCCCGTGAGAAACGAATTTAAAATCAGGCCAACTTTTGCGAGATTTATTCGCAAATATTTCTCTGTATCTATGTGTCTTTTTCAAAGTACAAGTCCTTACATCTACAGACGAACACTTCACTAAATGACAGTGATGTGTATTTTGTTTCAAAAGAGAGCTGAAATCTTGCATCTTTAAAGTAGAACTTCAGTCTTTATGATTACAAGATCGCAGCGAAGAGAGAGATATCCTGGGATATTAGAAGATCTACCAAATCACTCAGCTATATCCAGTACAATTATACCTATTGCAGAAAGATCAGGAGTTTTCCCCAGGAAGTCTAAAAAAGAGCAATCTTTCAAAACATGGTGGTCTTGAAAGAGACGCAAAAAATAAACCGTGATCATAATGTTGATATAAACATAGAAAAACTGAGTATTCTTGATATTTTGAGTCCTTTTCCTTTTTATGCGCTTAGCGCGTGAAAAGTGACATAAATTATAAACAATTCATTTAACATCATATGGACCAATATTCGTTTAAGTTTGATCTGCCTCCCGGTTAGCTCAATTCAGGTTAGAGCGCCGTATTGTGTTGTGTGGGAGGTCGAAGGTTCGAGCTCCGGCCGGACCAATACTCATGGTCTTAAAATAAGTGAGGAGAATTTGCTACCTTTCTATAATCCAAAAATGGATAGATATTCTAGTCTTCTCGGATAAGGACGAATAAACCGTAGGCCCCGTCTCCTGCAGGGCTAGGGGTAGGAGACGTTAATTTTTCCCCACGAGATTACTGTGTAGTGGATGTCCTCCCCTGGGGTGGGATGGGTAGGAATTGGCCCTGAAAAGCCCCCATGGGGAGTGGTCAACTAACGTACGTATGTATTTATTTCCGGCTGGAATGTCAAGCCATTCGCTCCGACGAAGGGCTAACGCTCGAAACGTCAGCTTTTGTAATCGTT